CCTGGGAGAAAGCCCAAACATCTAGGCCGCCTTAGCTCAAATGAGAGAGTGTCAGATTGATGATGTGTGCAGGTGGTGCAACTGCTGCGTGACTGCAGCTCATGTCTTGTCTGGAGAAATGCACTAACATCTGCGCCGCCTTAGCTCAAATGGGAGAGCGTAAGATTGAAGCAAAGCAGCTCAGCTAGCATTCATCCTTAAGGTACTCGGTTCGATACCGAGAGGCGGCAAGCTTTTTGCACCTCATCTTTTTGGGGTTCTGAATAGATATCTTTGCTCTCTGGGGTCTTGTCATGAACCCAGTAGACAAAAAAGGTCAAGTTGATCAGCAGGCGGCCGAGCAATGGCGGGGTGAGGCGGGCGAGTTGGCGGGCGCGGGAGACGCGTGACGGCGATGCGCGCGCGGCGCGCGCGCGTGTGTGAGGTGGCCGCGCTCGGAGGCGTGCCTCGCCGCCGCGCGCGCGGGCCACATCGCTCCTGCCACCACGACTCTACTGTGTATCGGCGGCGGCAGGAGTGCAGCGGTCAGGGGGGCAAAAGGGGGAAAAAGCCGAGAGCGAAAAGGAAGCGGGTGCTGGCCACTCTGACTGCGTCTGTCAGCATCCCAGCCCGCGCACCGGGCAGGGCCGTGCCGCGCAGGCAGCAGCAAGACACGTGCGCGTCGCTCCGAAAGGCCGCCAGACCATGGGTGCAAGATGAAGCGCCCCCTCCTGCGCTGACAGGATGCCGACGCCTGACAGGCCGCCTCTGATCTATTCGAGCACCGTGATTTGCGGCGGGGGCTGCGCACGCGCCTCTGGCGGTGGAGCGGCTCGCGGCCGGCGCGCCCGATTTGCGACGATGCGCACGCGTCGTAGTGTGGGAGCACCTCGCCGGCTGCCCCTAACCTCCGCCCTGCAAGTGCCTGCCGCGCGAGCTGCGGCATGCTGCTGCGCCGTGCGCCATGAAGGGCCTGGCCCAAACGCCGGCGCTGCCTCGTGCTCCTCCACAGCGCACGGCCGCGGCGGCGGCGGTGTTGTTTGGGCGCTCGGCGCCGGAGCGATGTCGCGCCGCTGCTGCGGCCAGCTCCACATCGCGCCGGCGCGCTCACGCATGCCCAATCGGGCCGACCTCCCTGTTCGGGCGACGCGACGGCGCCTCGGCGCGCCTGTGCTTGGCCGTGGCCCGAGCCGCCGAGCAACCCGGCGCAGCACACGCTTGTCGAGCGCAGGCGGCCTCGGGCAAGCGAGGCAGCACAGCAGGGCAGCGCGAGGCGGCGCGCTGCCGGTGCGCTGGCAGCGCCGCAGCGTGCACCTGCGACGCCGCCGCACTCGCCAGCCTGCGGCGAGGCTGCGCATCCATCGCCTCTCTCGCCACCACCCACGCACGCTCCTCAAGCCCATCGTCGCACGCCACGTCCTCACTCCACTGCACGCCTCTCTCTCTCTCTCCCTCGCACCTGTCTTGTCCGTCTCTGTCCGTGCGCCAGCGTTCTCGCTGATCTCGGTGCGGCGCCCTCTCGGCCCTCTTCCGCGTCCTGCGCTCACACGTCTCTCGCAGTTGCGCCTGCTGGCCCGCCCATTCTTCCTTCCTCTCTCTCTGGCCCGTCGCGATGCCGCTTGCACGCAAGGGCGTTCTCATCTCGCCGCCGACTCGCCCGCTCTCGCCACCTCCGCTCTTCGTGCCGCAGAAGCGCAAGACGGCCGCGGCCTCGTTCTCGCGCAAGAAGCCTGCGGCGCCGCGCGACCCGTCTCTCCCGCACTGGGAGCGCCCGTCGACGGCCGCGGGCCCTTCGTCGCGACACCTCGCGGATATGGCTGCGCTTGCGAGCGTGCCTTGGCTCGCCAAGTCGCCGGAGCCCGAGGCGAGCGCTGCCTCTTCCAGCGTCGCGCCCGCGCGGCCATTCAAGCACGCCAAGTCGCCTGCACCCCAGGCGGCCTCCTCCAGCGTCGCGCCCGCGCGGCCATTCAAGCA